TTCTTTCTTTCTTTTTCTTTCTTTCTTTCTTTCTTTCTTTCTTTCTTTCTTTCTTTCTTTCTTTCTTCCTTTCTTCCTTCCTTTCTTTCTTCCTTCCTTCCTTCCTTCCTTCCTTCCTTCCTTTCTTTCTTCCTTCCTTCCTTTCTCTCTCTCTCTCTCCTTCCTTCTTCCTTCCTTCCTTCCTTCCTTCCTTCCTTCCTTCCTTCCTTCCTTTTCTCCTTCCTTCCTTCTTCCTTCCTTCCTTTCTCTCTCTCTTTCCCCCCCTCTCTCTTTCTTTCTTATATATGCATATAGAAATTATAGTAACATCCATAAAGGTTTCCTGGAATAGAAACTATGAAAGAAGGGAAGACCAAACAGAGACTTTTGCTATTATCTGGTCCTCTTTTCTTTCATTCAACATAGTAAATCCCAAATTATCTTATGGTGAGCAGACAGTGGAGAGTTATGGATTATTAAAGACCTAAGAGATGTAAGGGTGGTGATGACTCCTTTTATCTCCCCATTTAATTCACCTTTCTTTAAAAAAAAATCACCTTTCTCTTAAAACAAAAACAAAAAACTGAGTAGATTCTGGAAGCCTTGTAGACTGGCCAACAAAGCTGACCAGCACAGTCAGGATATTTTATCACAGCCCTAGACACTGGAACAGGACAGGGATAGGGACACACACACACACACACACACACACACACACACACACACGGGAGAGAGAGAAATATGCATGCATAAAAATAAAATAAATAGAGAAGAAATGGCGTATTGGTTCTAGAAGATGAACTTTGCTTTTTTGCTTTTTTGTTTGTTTGTTTGTTTGAGACAGAGCTTCTCTGTGTAACAGTCCTGGCTGTCCTGGAGCTCACTCTGTAGACCAGGCTGGTCTCAAACTTAAAGATCCACCTGCCTCTTCCTCCTGAGTGCTGGGATTAAAGGCATGCGCCACTACTGCCCAGCTATGAACTTTCACATATTAAGGCAGATCTACTTACTGCTCAGCCCTTGATCTATTATGAGTGCCAGATTGTCAGGAATACAGAGTCTCTCATATGACACAATGTCAGAAGACCAACTGGCAAGTTGGCTACATCAAGATCATCCCATTCTGAAAGGGCAAGTGGTTCCTTCATCCTCACAGACAAAGATACCTATTCTAAGCATACTCCTGCTGTCAGAGCATTGTGTCAACAGTACTATCCAGGGACCAATAACATGTCAGATAACGAGACTCAGAATTGCATTCTGAAAAGAATACAATAAAGAAGCTCACTTCACATTAAAGTGGTATAGGAATAGGCTTATATTCCTGGGTTCCACATGTTCTATGTTCCACATGTTCAAGCTATGTAAATGAGAGGCAGCCAGTCTCATAAAATACCACAGTGGCTTTCAAAAGATGCAGCTAAGGTCCTGCTTGCATAAAACAATGCATTTATCATAACAGGGATACCCACATGATGCCATCTCCTCATCAGGATGAAGACTTGAGGACAATGATAAAGGGCAGAAGTAGAATGGGTCCATTTACCATTCCGAAAAGATTCCTAAAGAGAAATTATTTTTTGCTTGGAGACATAGCAAAGATCCCATGCAAGTACATGTTATGGCTACCACTTGGACATTTTGAAGTCCTTTGTCCAAGGACCAACAAGTAGGAAGCAGAGTCATGATACAGGTGGAGATAATTAGCCTTGATCAAGGGGGAGGAGATCAGGCTAGCCCTGCACAATAGGGTCAGAGAGAAATAGCTGTAGCATGGGTAATATCCTGGGGGTGCCTCCAGTATTCTCGCTTCATTTTAACTATGAGCAAACCTATATACAACTCAGAATTGTGAAATGTATGATTATTGGAGCCTCAGACCCACCCCTCAAGAATGAAAGTTTGCTTCATATCACCAGCTACACCACCAAGATTGCCAATCTGATGCTTGAAGGTGAGGACAAGGAAGTCAGAACAGTCAGCACAAGTCGAGCAGAGGCAGAGGAACAGCTATGATCTTTTAAAATTATTTATTTACTTACTTAATGAGTGTGGGTATTTTGCCCATGTGTATACCCATGGACCACATGCATGCCCGGTGCCAATGGAGGCCAGAAGAGAGCATCAGATCCCCTGAGACTGGAGTTACAGATGGTTGTGAGGTGCCCTGTGGGTGCTAGGAATTGAATCTACGTTCTCTGGAAGAGCAGCCTCTGCTCTCAACCCCTGATACAAGCCCAGTTGCAGCGTTGAGGTCAGTTGTGGTGACAGAAGCTGTTCTTGCCACTTGCTCCTCCTCCCAGTTTCTCCTCAGAAGGAAAAGCCCATAGGAACTGTGGGGGATGAGCTGTGGAAGAGAATTGTGGAAGAGAATGCCAAGTTCATGTGGAAAGTTGCATTTGTATCAGGTAAGGAGTAGACAGTAGCATTCCTGGGAATGAGCCTCATAGACCCTTTACTGTAAGGAGTATAATTATCCAAGGGCCCAAGCTTCTACACTCTGACATCTACAGTCCTGTGTCTATTCTTTTCAGGCTGCTGCAGGAGGATGATATAGGCTAGGTGGCTCATAAACAAGAGACCATGCTTTTGTAATCCCAAGGCCGACCATTTCAAGATCAAGGCATTGGCCATTGAATTCTCCCATGGTGGAAGACGTGGTTCGGAAGCTCTCTGGGGCCTCCTTAATGAAAGCATCGATTTAATTCTTGAGGGTTCCTCCCTGTGAACCGATTATCTTCCAAAGGTCCAACCTCCAGATACCATCGTATTAGGGACTGTATTTCAGGGTAGGAATTGGGGGAGGAGAGCACAAACATCCAATCCATGCCACCTGAAGTCTTCTTTTTTCTGCACTGCTCTCAGCCACTGGGGACCAAGGCAGGCATTCTCAAGTGAGCCTATTGTGGCTGGTCCACTTAAGCTCAGGAGTCCCAAGGGTCTTCCCAAACCGTTCAGACTGTCCATGAATCTAAATGGTACCACTCACTCTGCCTCCTTCTACCCCTCACTGGGGGCTTACGTTTACATCCTCTGACCTGAGGCTATCCCCTGACTTTCCCCACTTCCCCTCCCCACGTCTTCCCTAAACATTTCCTTTATCAAAATTCTCCCATGTTGAATTCAATTTTGACCCAGAATGTCAATGGTTGTACCATTGACAAACTCTGGCTTGGAAGGAAAATAACAGGAAAAGGGTGCCAATATGGACCCAATTACTTTGTAATTCCCTGATAATGGAGATTTCTCTGAGATTGGTTCAGATGGTAGTTAGTAGATCCATAAAAACTTTTCTTAGAAACATCCAGAATTGCCGGGCAGTGGTGGCGCACGCCTTTAATCCCAGCACTCGGGAGGCAGAGACAGGCGGATTTCTGTGAGTTCAAGGACAGCCTGGTCTATAAAGCGAGTTCCAGGAAAGGTACCAAAGCTACACAGAGAAACCCTGTCTTGAAAAACCAAAAAAAAAAAAAAAAAAAAAGAAACATCCAGAATAAGATGAACAATATTTTGTTCCTGTATCAAAACTGACCTTTTGACTGTACAAATTTAGTGAATTCCTTCCTTCCTTTCTTCCTTCCTTCTCTTTCCTTCCCTTCTTCCTCCCCTTTCTCTTCTCCCCTCTCTTCTTCTTCTCTCCCTTACTCTTTTTTTTTTTTTTTTTTTTTCCCTATCAGCCTTTGGTTTCGTGATCGTAGTAACCAACAGAGGTTATTCTCCAGTTCCATTGTGAAAACACAGATCTCATGTAAGCAGTTTACAGTGACTTTTAGTTTGAAATTTCTCATGGTTTAGTTTCGGATAAAGGGTGAATGTTCTTGGAAAGTTTGAATTTAATCAGAAAAGCTATTTTAGAATTATGATCTTAGAGTAGTTTCTGGGGTTTGAGATCTGGAAATATTTTCTAGCTGGCTGTGTCCAGTTTTTTGGCTCATAGGTTTGGGCTAATACAGTAATCACTTAATAATAACTTTTTTCCTGGGTCCTGTCCACCACATAATAATGTTTTCCTCCACTTCTTACCCACTTGCACACATTTAGTTTCACTTCCACTGTTTGCAATGCACCCTGAATTAAAACTGAATATACTCCAACTTTAGATTATAACTGGGTCAAGTTTATGAGGACTCAAGCCCCGTTTATGAACTTTTTTTTCACAAAATTGACTTGGGTTTCGAGAGTGTTAATGAAACCAGAACATGGGGGAGTTTAGAATACAGTCTGTTCTCAATTTGTCTGCTCTTTGAAAACCACGGTCTGGTTTCAGCCGTCCTAACCTTGGATAGTTGAATTAAACAACAGACAGACAAGTCCTCTCCAGCCATGGAACGGAGCAGCTCTCTTCTAAGAATAGCAAACTGCAGGGGAAGGAGGTGTAGTGTTTTTCCTGTGAGGCTTGCCAGCAGCAGACAGTGGCAGATACTGTAAAATAGACGCAGCAGATCTTGTGTGCCTGTTGATCTCTCCAGAGAGTGGTCTTGGGCTTCCAGAAGACCTGGTTCCTGTCTCATCTCTGTCTTCGTCAGTTCTCTGACCTGTGTTCTCCAATGTCTTTACTTTCCCATTCCCTCCTACAGGTTGTGGTTCTTGTCGTAGTTCTTCTGTGGATGAGGCTTAGAACTGATAACTATCCAAGATGTGGATCCAAGGAGTTCTAGACCACGGGGCTGACTCATAACTTGGGCAATAGTGACTGGACTACCTCTGTGCTCAGGTAAGGCCCATCTTTCATGAAATCCCTTTCACCTGGATCTCAAGAAGACTGAGTTTTTGCTTTAGTCTATTTCTCTCTGGTCAATCATTTTCCCCAAGGCCAGAAGTTCTGATGACTCAAGCTCCATGTCTTTCTATCGTGAGGTCTTTCTCATCACTCTGGTCAGATCCTCTGAACAAAGAGGTATCTGGTTCCTACCTGCCTGGATTCCTTTTTGTGCTCCCCTGACCTGCTTGAAGGCAATCTCTTTGCCTTGGGTTTCCAGACCATGATGCAGATGGCTCATGCTTTGTTTACTATAACCCCTTAGCTCATCCCCCTGAGTCCCGATGCTGTCTCTGCTGTGGTCCTACAGAAGCAATCAGTGATGAGATGATCTCCTTTCTCTGCACCTTTGCTGTCTTACGTGTCATGGAGCAGGACCAAGTCCCAGGATGCAATCAGAGCATCTCCTATTCTAGTGATGCTGCCTTCACTGAAAATAGTCTCGATAGTCAAAAGCCTGTAACACAATCTTCCCATTGTCTTCAAAGGCATCATTCATTTGTTGTTTGCATGTGAATTTGACATCCTCCCCTACAAGTTCTTATTAACCAGTGATCAAACCAGCTTTTTTTTTTTTTGTATTTTGTATCAAAACGAAAGCAGGATTTTAAGGTAATAAAATATCACTTTTTTTTTCCCTCTAGTCTATAACAGCAACAATTCACTCCAAAGGAGTGGACTGAACAGTGACAGTATCACTAAAAAATGCAAAAATTTCTAGGAATTCTCTGATATCCCTGACACTTCAGGGGTTCACCTTAAATGGAAGGCAGTCTGTTTACCCGGCCTGATTAGTAGATTTTGTCTGATTTCTGTGAAGTTAGGCACTAAGGACATGTGTTCAGAAAATGCAAAGGCTGCAGCTGATGTGAAATCAAGCTAATAATGTACCTACTGGTGAGGTCCAGCCGCTTTGTCACGAGCAGTCAGAGCTCTGCTTGAAAGGTCTGCTTCCCATGCTCTAAGTTCCAACCAATTAGAGCCCAGATATCTGATTACATTACATACGCTTTCTCCTTTTTCTAATGAAATTTCCCTCATGGTATATATGTTTAATACCTTGGTTGTGGCTACAGTATGCATATGTCTAAACTTGCCCACCTGTGTGCGTCAAATGTACACAGCTTGTGTATATGCATTGCGTCTAAATAAAGCCTTTTAAAACCTCTCTTAATGCCTCATTTCTTTATCAGTCATACAACCCATATGCTTGGCTTACATATCAAATTAGCCACATCCATAACGTTATTTATCTTTGGGGAAAGGATATTTCTTAGTGTGCATAGCACTTTTGCAGTATTCTTGGAAAATTAACACACGAGCCCTTACAGATTATTGTGCCAGGGACAGGGTGGCCAAAATAAAAGAGCCGGTGGTAGAAGATGTGCCTGAGAAGTTGGGGTGATGGTGGAAGGTGTGCCTGAGAGGTTGGAGCTCACCTGTGGACTCATTTAGACGTCAAATCTCTGCATGAAAGAGAAGAATCTAAATCCACATTTCTGTTTCTTTAACTTTCTTCTCCGTATCAAGGATCTCCAAGTTCTGACAAACCTGGGATCAATTCAGTGTTCTATAACATTGGAATGACTCAATTTTTATTATTTGTTATATTTTCTATTTTTATTGTTATAAACTAACACATACATGTTCCTAAAGATGGAAAATAAATATACATAAAATAAAAACATAAAAATTTTATGTAATCATCGCACATTGCTGTGTACAATCCTGTATGTATGTTCTAGTTCAAGTTTATAAAATAGATCATACTTTAAATTTTCTAACCTTTTTTTTATATTCAAATCATGAAGAGAAATACATTTTTTTTTACATTCACTGAGTCCCAGCTTAAAAGTACATTTTCAATTAAAAATTATTTAGACTGAAAGTTGGAGACTTTTCCTAATTGAGCCTCCTTATTTCACAGGTAGGAAGATTAAAGTCTGGAGATATCATACAGTTAAAATGATACATGTTTAGGCAGCATCAGATCCAGGCCAATAACAAAATTCTCCATCACAGGTAACCACTTTCTGGATTTTGCAGGGTCCTTCCTCTGTTTTTCTTATTACATAGTCCTACATGGCAAACTAGGATTTTTGAGTAGGAAAATTCTGGCCTTTGAGCTCAGTTGCCTACTGCTGAGGAAGACCAGTTGACTTAGAATTTATTGAAAATGTTTTCTGGAAAAGAATTTGTAACTCTTAATGGTTTTCAAGCTTCAAGACTTCAGTTGAGTTTTCTGCAGGGATGCTGAAGTATCTTGGTCCCATCTCAGGCTGCTATAAATCTCTGTCAGTCTATCATAACTCACTATCAGCAGAAATATGGTTAGAACTAAGTAAGAATTTCCTGACTTTTGGGTTTATGACTTTAAAAAAAAACCATTTACGTTGCAGTAATTTGACTTAAAGAGTCTAAAAAAGGCTCTGTGTGTCTTATCAATCACAATCAATTTTATTTGCTAAATTTAGTACTAGAGTGATATTATCTATGTGCTCTTTGTATAAAAACATCTCACATAGCATATTTTTGGAGATGTTGTGCTATCAGGTGGCTTTGGAATTTCATAAAAATTTCACCCACTCACAGCCAGTGCTTTCTCAATGATTAACTTTGTCAGATGGGTCAGAACTGATGCTTGAGTGAATACATATATATATAGTATATATAATATATTATATATAATGCAAATTATCCTTCATTTAAAGTTTCTGCTTTGTCTTTCTTACATAGCTCTATTTGTTTCTCATTTTTTCTTTTTATTCCCTTTCACTCAAATTAAAAATCTTGAGGGTTCAATGGTTTTTAGTTTGTCTTTGCTGCAGGAGATGAATAAAATCAGATTAAATAAATGCTGTTCACTCACGTTTTACCCGAGATTGTCAAGAGCCTTGGTGTCTGTAGAGTCAGAGAACTGAGGAAGTGGCTTATGTATTTAGGGGAAAACAGTGCCTCCAAAAGATGAGAAAAAAAAGTGGGTTTACTCTACAGCATTACCATAAACTTGGTTGTAGAGACGGATTCAACAAATCAAGGTTGTAAGTTCTAGTAGAACATTTAGTTTTAAAATATAATGACTTCCTTTGGCTCTTTTCCTAATAGTATGAGTTCATTTCTAATAAATTCATTTGTTCTAAGTTCATATTTTCCTTTCTAATACAAAGGGTACCACGTAAGGGATGTGGCTGACTCAGGGGTCTTGACCTGCTCATATTTTGAGAGGACAGGAAACAAGTGTCTCTGGTTTATTCTACCTGTCAGCATTCTTAACCAACGGAACGGAAATGGCCAGAACCACAGAGTTCAAAGTTTACATGTGGCGAGAACTTATTAGTGATGAGGCTGCTTTTAAATAATGTTGAGAAATAACAGCCACATAAGCGATGGGTTCTAAGTAATGTCAGTGTCTGGGATTCCATTAGGAAAATGCAGAAATTGGGCTTTAAACCTGAAGAGCTTGGGTCTTAGTTACACTTCGTGACTAAAACCTTCAGTAGGCCCTGTGACTATGGATATGGGATGACCTAGCTTCCTGCTCGTGAATGAAACACCCTGCCAGAGCATTTCCTCTGAACACAATCCAGTTTAAGAAAGCTGCTAAATGCAATCAGCTGCTTCTAAATAATCCTCCACAGCACATTTCAATAATGCAGTTCATTGAGCTAAAGTTTCCTACCATGGGCCTCCCTCCATCTCATTTAGTTTCTCCATAACCGAGTAACCTTTAGAACACTGTGCCACGGGAGGGCAGAGCTGAATGATCGTATGTCAGAACTTGACTCTGGCTGGCGATGGCTCAGAGTGATGTGTGGTCAGGACTCTGGAAGATGACAAATCCCAGACTCTCTTCCCCTTGCCAGAGTCTGTTAAGGATGTGTCTACCAGTGTGTGTGTGTGTGTGTGTGTGTGTGTGTGTGTGTGTGTGTGTGTGCCCTCGGCATATACTCCACCATCTAGCCATGTCCCAGTCCTCTTTTACTTTTCATTTTGAGACAGGGCCTCATTTAAGTTTCCAGGCTAGCCTTAACAATGATCCTCTTCCCTCAGCCTCTTGAGAAGCTCAGATTACAGGCCTGTGCCACTATTCCTGGCTAAGTTCATGACTACAAGCCATGTTAGTTCAACGGGCTCTTGGGAAGATGGTGAATGGTGGTGAATGAAGAGAAGATAATTAACTTAAAGCCAGGTGACTTGCAACCTTACCTTGGTCCCGTCACCAGCAGCCTATGTGTGATTTGGGGCAGAGCATTTTGTCTCTGTGGGTCTTTGGATCCCCTGTCAGGTGAGGGAGCATTTGCTTGGGTTCTAGGATGCAATCTCCTCACAAGGCAGGTGCGAAGGCTCATCACCCAGCACAGCTTTCCCACTGTCGTGGCTACCGTCCCTCACTCTGCCCAGCCACAGGGACGCTGCTCTCTCTGACCAAAGTGTGAACATGACGGTTTCTGATGAACTTGAGGTGTGAAGGGGTTCAGAGCCTGAAATCATTCAAACGCTGCAGTCACAGCAGGACCTGAAATGAGACATCTCCAGATTCAAAAACAGTGATTGTGTAACCAAGAAGCCGAAGTAAGGGCTTGAGGCGGAGATTAGATCGTGCAAGAAATGGCGTCTGTCAAACGTGTCATACTTGCTTGCATTGCTGTTCTTTATAGACAGCTAAGCATTTGGGGGGTTGACCTGGTGGTTAGTAGCTTGTTCAGCATTAAAAAAAAAACTCCAGTCGCATTCCATTCCAAGTTTTTTTTTTTTTTTTTTTTTTTTTTTTTTTTTTTTTTTTTTTTTTCTTGAACTAATGCAAGAACATTGTGAATGGCCTGGGAAGTGGAAATGTAAAATGGAAACCCTACCGAGTTGTGTCATATTCTAAAAGGGAATCACGTATATTCAATGTGTCACGCAGGTGGGAGGGGACGAGCTGGGGAATGTCAGAGGCCAAACTCTTTACTCTGACTTTTTGCCCCTTTCTCCTTGATAGTAAAGTTATGGGATCTAATGTGTGGCTCTGGACAAGTCAACTACTTTCTCAGTAAAATAACATGGGTTCCTATTTTGAAGACTTCTACTCTTATCGTGATGGTTAGTTAGTGTTGTCAGCTAGACAAGACCTAGAATTTCCTAGGAGACAAGCCTTCAGGTACAGCCCGTGAGAGATTATTTAGATTAAGTCAGCCTGTGACTGAGCCTGTAAGGGATTATCTTGATTGCACTAAGGTAGGAAGATGCACACTAAAATGAGGAAGCCCTGCTCCCTGGGTTTCTGTCTGAGACTTCAAGGAACTAGAAAGGCAGCTGAGCATATGTATTCTTTTCTCTCTGCTTCCTGACTCCAGATGCGGTGGGACCAGATGCTTAGCTCCCGCCATCTTGATGGACTGTGCCCTTGAACTGTGGGCCAAAAGAAACCCCTTCTCACTGGACTTGCTTTCCTCAGGGTATTTTTTTTTTTTAAATCATGGTGACAGGAAAAGACATGAGAATATGTATCCTGGTTTATAAAGCCTCTTACAAGAATTTATTCATAGCTGTTTATGTTACAAGAATGAAGAATTAAGGGGGGAAAATCATGCAACTTTCATTTTGCTCTAGGTATAAGAAGCTAGGGAGACCTGGAGATAATTAGAAATAACAGTGGTTAAACCAGAGCATTGCATTTAGCTAGAGATATTCTTTTTTTTTTTTTTTTT